TAATAAGAGAAAAAAGAAAAAATGAATTTTAGAATTTTATTATCTTATTACTTTAAAAGAAAATATAAATTTATGATATTTACCAATAGTTTATAATATATTGCATCTATCATAGTTCAACTTATATGATTCTTATAAGTCTCTCTATTTAATAAAAATAATAGAATAGTATTTATTTACATAATAGTTAACATTTAACATGTTATAATAGAAAATATATTTATTACAAAGAATTTTATAAAATAGAAATTTTAAAAATATTAATTTATTTTAAAATGAATTGAAAAAATACAAATATACTTGTATCAGAAGATTTTAAAGATAATAAAATTAAAGAAAAAAGTGAAGAGAAAGAAAATAAGAAAATAGGAAAAGTTCAAAATATTTTATCTAGTTTAGAAATAAAAATTAACCAAATATCTTAAAAATATAAATTAATAAAAGCAAAGACTTATAAATATTCAAATTATAGTTTAAATAGTTTAAATATTTTTTTCTGCTAGATTGCTTTAAAAATAAAATTTTTATATTTATATTATTCTTTTTTAAATAAAATTTATGTTTAATAAAAGTTATATAAATTGCAAATTATTAAAATTATATTTTATAAGCAATTTATATAATAATCAAAGAATAATCTTGTAAAGTTATACAGATAACTAATAGAATTCAATATATCTTCATATAATATATTTCTTTTAATATGTAAATGATATATGAAACTTTATATAATATTTATATATAAATAGAACTTCAATTATGTTAAATTTTAGTATTTAATTAGACTTTTATTATTACGATATTTTATATGACTCATTAGATTAGATGATCTTTATATTTTAATTCTCAAAAAATGTAATAATTACAAAAAATGTAATAAATAAAAAATTAGTAATTGAAATTACTTTAAATTTTGTAAATTTGTTATTAAATATATAAATATTGTATATACAAAATTTTAGCTATTTATCCTATTTTCTTATTTTACAATCCTCTTTTAAGTTTAATTAATACCTATTCCTATATAGAATATATAATATTATATTTATAATTCAATTTTAATAGAGAACCTACTATATAATTCTTTTACAATAAAATAATAATTAACATAAAATTTTATTATAAAATATAACAAATTATAGTAAATTTTATAAAAGGTAAATTAATTAAAACTTTTTTAAATTATAATAAGTTAAGCTAATTCTACTAATTATAATTTAAATAATAATATAATATAAGATATTAAATTTAAGATAAACAAATAGATAACAGTCAATAAAAAATGAGAAATCTAATTTTAGTTAAAAAATTTTTTTATTTACAGTAGATAATTTGATCAAATGTATATAATATAAAATTAATTTAAAAACTAAAATTTCAGATATTCATTATATCAAGCGGCGTTTTTTTAATTTATTTAAAGTTGGAATTAATCATCATCACCAATTAGGTATAAACTTATAAATAAATTATTAAATCGCCAATTAAGGGTTATGAATGGCGATCACATGGTCACAAAATACTGTGTAATAAACAATTCAGATCTTATCCATATCTTATTCATACTAGGGAACGGGGACCGTTGTTAAGTCCGGAACATCGGGACACTTCGCATATAAAAATATATAGTCCTTACAATTCGTTCCGGACTAATAAACCTGTCACCTGTAATTATCACATGATATTCATTTTAGAAAGATGAGTCTTCATTTTGAATACACGTCATTATCATCAAAACCCTTTTAATATAAATAGGAGTTAAAATAATATGGCATTAAACATTAATTATCAACATGGAAGAAGATCAGTTTCAAAAGTACTTTCTTTTTTTTTTAGAATCATAACCTTAATTTGATTTCGTCTAGTTCTTCATGTTGTAATTAATTAAATACTTTGTAATTAATTAAATACATCAAGATCAACTAAAGAACTACGTTATAAAAAAAGTTTTACCCCAAAATAAAAAGTTATAAATAACAAAATTTCAATCCGAGAATGCTTGTGAAATTGTTGTATGAAGAAAATGCTTTTTTCCATTACAACCTTTTTTGAATCTTTCAAAATAAAATGAAACTTGATTAGGGTATGTCTGATATTTCAGCTAAATATAGAATGGAACTTGTCTTTTTTGGACTAAATTACAACCCCTTAAAAATTTAAGGCATCTTGTTAGGAAATATATCTACAACCTTTTATCGGGACATACACCATAACAAGAAAAGAATTCTCCCGTTCAAAAAGTTATTTTTGAAAAACAATGCAAAAATGCATAAGACAATAAATTTCTTGGCATTTTTAATCGATCCGTTCTAAAAAAAAAAAATAATAAAAATTTTATATATAAGCTTCAAAATCTTGAGGGCCAAAACTTTCCTTCACTGCTCTCCTCTAATACATAAGATTTATTTTCTAAAAAAAAAAAAAAGAAAAGATGATCAAATTAATGGCATTGTTCTTAATACTCACGGCAGCTACGTATAACTACGCTGCTCCTGCTATCAACTTAAACGCGAACGTCGTCACATTAGATGAATATACCCTCTGTACATTCCTTCCACGAACAGTGGGAGGTGACATCGGCGCAAGTGAAAGTGATGCTATCGCATTCTGCAGTCAAGATAACCCAAAGTCTCCCGGCGCAAATATGATTCCCCCCGGATTTATACAGACATGGCACTATGCCACCGGAGAGGGATACGTCCAATTCACCGGTACCATTGATCCAACAGCTTACGGATTGAGTAAAACTGACGGAGGCGGTCAATATGATAACCAAGGTGGTGGTTCTCCTCCAGGTGCATCATGTGGTGGATACGAAAAATTTGTGAACTTAATTGAACCTGATATTGGCTATTTCTGTATTCGTTGCTGTTCCGATGCCAGTCTATGTGAAACCGGACATAGTACTGATGGATGCCAATCTATTGTTCCTGGCAATTACACTTAAACATTTAAACATTGAACATTAATTTATTTATATTTAGAGAAACATACAATATTAATTAATAATAAATTATTTAATTTCCTGTTAGCACCTTTGTTATAAAAGGTATAATTTTTGTGTTAATAAAATATATTTGATCTTTGGTTACATAAACACAGAGATATTTATCGCCAAGGTTTTTTGTATTGTGTGACAGACATGTTTACTGACCGTCCGTGCGTGCGCATTTGTTACAGTTTCACAAGCAGACATAAGCATAAAAGTTTATTCTAAAAACATAATGTGTATTGTAAATATTTGAAAAACGAAAACTTGATAAATAATTGTTTGAATGTTATAAATTGAAATCGTGTATTGTATTTCTTGGCTTAACTAACATCAAGGACACCAAGGACAATATAAATATAAAATCGTATTATTCCAAATGAACAAAAAAAAAAATACAATTCCATCATCAAGAGATAATACAAAAGTGTTGTTACGTTCAAATATAAAAACGCAACATGATATTCCTTTCTCCATTCTAAAGTCGTTACATGGTCGATTTATCATGTCGAAACAAAAACAAAATCAAAATCAGAATCCAAATCGTTCATCACCTCTTCCAAATATATATAACGAATCCTCTTCGTTACCAAGGATTCATAAATGTCATTGCGGAAGAGAAGCTACCATAAGAAATTTATATCATTGTTCAAAGTATGATACTGATGAAATGGATTCGATCTGTGATTATGTAGAAGTAGAAGAGCAACAAACCAGGGAAGAACGATCCAATGAAGAAGTATTTTCAACTCCGGCAACCATTGAAATAATTCGCGCCATGACAACTCGTAAAAGCGAAAACACATTACAAGATAAATTTGAAATTATTGACTTATTAAACGATACTAGTTCCGATCTCGAAGAATTCACCGATACCGCGGTAAACGATAATGTTTCGAGCAAAGATGGTGGAACTTTGGTTAGGGATACGTCACCAATCGTGAGTTCCTTTTCACAAAATACCATTCAAAGTTCTCAACAAGATACTCAAAGTACTGTTGCGCAAAGTCCTTCTCGAAAAGCCAAAGGTAAATCGGTTTCCAAAGTATCTAAATCTCCTCAATCTCAACTCCTTAAAAAGGATAAAGCACAAGTGGTTACTACTCATCGATATGAAACTCGTTCAAAACCATCACGTCGTCACACATCTTTATCTTCCTCTAATAATCATAATGATGATAATCGTAGTGATGATGTTTCTCAAAGATCACAAAAGTTAAAAAGATCAAATAATGATGGAAATGCAGCTGTTCAAAGAAAGCATAAAAAGAAAAGGGTTGAAAAAATAAGAAATAGAATAAAGTAAAAATAATGTAAACTTAATTCTAATTTTCAAAATATTCTAATAATAAAAAAATCAACTTTTTTTACAATCAATTTTATTATAATGTACAACTTTGCAGCAGTTAATTATACAAAATGCTATTTCGATTTACTTTCCATTAGAGCTGCGACTCGTTACCCATTTACCCGGAAAAAATCACGAGATACCGGAGAATCAATTTTTATTCGCCACATTCGTGCCGAATAACTATTAAGTATCCGGATCATAGAATAACAAACGGGTAATATTCGGTTTGTATCCGTTTTATTTTACTTGGATTATATATTATGATTAAAAATGCTAACCGGGTATAAATGGGTAATACCCGTTAAGGAATCGGGTAACCTTTTTTTGGGGGGGTATGACCCAGCTCTACCCTTTTATAATACTAGGCTTAATATTCTTCATAAATAATGCAGAAATCGAGGTCAATGCTCCCATCGCAATTACAACTTTAAATGCAAGACTCAAAGATAACACAAATGCATGCTTAATAATCGTTCTAACACTTTCGGGAACATTCATTAAATCTTTTTCTCCAAATCCTTGACCACCAGCAGTTTGGAATTCTTGTGGCAAATTTCTATTTAATGCATTGGTGAAAATTGTACCAAGAATTGCTACGCCAAATACCGCTCCTACTGTAAGATATAATAATAACGGTAGATTTAGTACATCGAATTTTATCATATTCGCGAATACATCATTTATGAACTTACTTGTCCTAAAGAAAGTCAGTAAAGAAGTAACGCTAGCGATGTCTTTATAACCCACAACTTGCTGTGAAGCTAAAAATGTGGTCTGCATTATCATGCCTACGTAAATTTTATTGAAGTTGGTAATTAGAAATTCGAACCCTTAAATTTAATACCTCTTCCAAAACTCACCTATGCCAATACCTCCAATTAACAAATATCCGGTGAATTCCGCTCTCGAGCTAGTCTCGTTAAAAGTACTCGTCAATCCAGCTCCAATCGTAATTAATATACCACCTACGATACATATTATTTTATATGAAATCATACTTGTACGTGATACTAATTGTCCCGAAAATATTGATGAAAAGACTACTCCTAAAATCAATGGCAATAATTCTAGTCCTGCTTGTGTGGCTATATATATAAAATGGAAAATTTTGAAATTTTATAAGATACGGTAGGTAAAAATTGAAATTGAAATATTTCATTTTGATCTCGTGATTACCTGTAACGCCTCTTACATATATGAAATAGAAAGGAATATAATAAACCATTCCAAAGAATGCCATTCCCTGGAAGAAATTTACCCCGAAACACGCCACGACCGTAATATCCTTAAACAATCGTCCTAACGGCAAAGAAAAAATTTAAGGTAAGTTTCAAAGATCGTTCCGAGTTTTTTTTTTTTTTTTTTTTTTTTTTTTTCTTTCCACCTACCAGGAGCGATTGGTTCAACCGAAATATACTTTTCCACGAGCCCGAATGCAATAAATCCCAGAACCCCAACGCACAATAAAACTATAATGACTGGTGAATTCCATTCATATCTACTTCCTCCCCAATTTAACGGCAATAATAATGCTACCGTTGCGCCAACTAAAACTACTGTTCCCCACCAATCTATTCTTTTTAATTTTTCTAGGATTGATCCTGATGGATATGGCAAATGGAGGAAAAAAATCACACAAGCAACAGTCACGGCACCGAATGGAAGATTTATATAATATGCCCACCTAAGTAAGTACATTAAGAATTAGAGATATTTCGCGGAAGTCTAACATAACTTTACTCTTTCGTATTTATAATAATTACCTCCAAGTTAACGAACTAAAAGTCAATCAAGAAGTGTTAAATATGTTTACGCATCAAATTAAATTTTGTAAATTAAATATAATCAAACCGAATAACTTACTCGGTAAACGCGCCCCCAAGCAATGGTCCGATGACCGAAGCAATTCCAAAGACAGCACCAACCATCCCTTGATATTTTCCACGGTCTTGCAATGAAACAATGTCGGCAATAATAATAAAAACCAATCTAAGTCAATAACAAAAGAGTTAGTTTTAAATATTGAGAAAGCAATCACGGGAATTAAATTATGTTTATATTACCCAAAGATACCGCCTCCCCCGACTCCAGCAATAGCACGTCCGATGATTAGAGTCACCTAGTACGAGTTTAAATTCGAGAGTTAATAAACGATGTAAAAATAAAGGAGGACTAGTCATATCAATAAGAAAAGTTACCATGTTTGGTGCAATTCCACAAATGAGCGACCCAATCTCAAATAAGAAAATCGCCAATAAAAAAGTCATTTTTCTACCAAAAATGTCCGCAAATTTTCCGTACGTAGGTTGAAATGCAGTCTTTTTAGAATAAGTAAAAAGCGTTAGAAATTCCCGAGATTCGAAAAAATTTTTACATGATGGTTTCTTACCGCAGTAAGCAAATATGCGGTTCCGATCCACGCAATTTGATCGAGCGCCGAGAATTCAATAGCGATTGCTGATAAAGTAGTAGCAACGATGGTTTGATCCAATGCGGCCAAGAAAATACCGAATGTAAGCCTTGATATGAAATTTAAAACCTTATAGTCAGTTACGATCAAGAAACATTGAGCCAAATAATGATAATAATAATAATAATAAATTACCCAACAAACACCATGAGGAATTTAACCTTTGGAAGAGGAGTTATCACATGATCTGATAAATCGACCTCATTATTCACCTCTCGATGATTTGATTCTTCATTTTTTTCATTATTATTACGATTCTTATTCTTATTATCGATTTCAGAATTTTCAGTCTCGGGAAATTCGATTATAGTGGACGTAAACGTAGTCGTTTCTTCTGTCGGTTTGTTAACATTTTCGCGTACTTGTGATTGTGACATGATATCTAGAGGATTTAATGGCAGAATAAACTAATTACAAGTGAATGAATTGTAAAAATCCATGAAGAAAAGGGAATTTGTATCCTATTTATTGTAAGAAAAAACTTATTGTCATGTCGTGTTAACATTAAAACTTTTCATAGTGGGCCGGAAATCACCCGATTATATTATAAACCCTAACCTATAAGAAACATGTCCGACAAGAATGTTAGCGGGCCGCAAATTAACCGAAATTACAACTTAATCATTCGAATTCGGCATTGTCTTCCTCCCATTGATTGATTTACAAAAATGTTTAAATCTTTGCGGTGCACCCTTTAATACGTTTCTAAATGGAACATTTGAGGTTACGACACTAAACTTTATTGTACCAAAAGGCAAATCTTTTTGCCGAGGATATGCCAATTCAATGAATTATGCATGCAATGCGGAAAAAAAATGAATCGTAGCGACTCGATAATAGAAAATTAGAATTATTTATATTTTTTATTTCACCGATGATCAACGTCTAATGTAGCAACCACATTTTTAAAAAACTAAAAAACTTGTTTACTTGTTTGATCGTCAAATTTAAAATAAATTATAAAATAATTAAGTGTAACAATAATGAGAAAAATTAGATTGATAAAAAAATTCTTTCGGAATTTTGGAATTTTTGGAACTTTTTACTGCGGTCAGGTAACACAAATAACACACAAGCTTAGAAAAAGTTCTCACCATGTGATATATATATTAACTATCTACATACCTGTGATGCAATCTTGCATCGAATCGGACATCTGATTTTTTTTCTTGAGCTACGTACGTCGGACGATTTTGCTTAAAATATTGGTGCGTATCAATGAATCACAAAAAAAAATTTTCCCTCTCCAAAAAAAAAAAAAAAAAAAAAAAAAAGCTTTAGCTGGTCATGAAGGCACACAATTTTACTATTAAACCTAATAAACAGTGTCGTCACACTTTAACGAAATTTAACGATATTAGCATGAAAGATAGTCTCGCATCAAAATTAACTTATGATTGTCTAGAAGAAATTTGCAAACATTTAAAGAATGACAAGGCGTCCCTTTTCTCATGCATACTACTTAATCGGTCCTGGTGTAAAATGGCGATTCCCGTACTTTGGTCTCGACCTTTTGAAAATCCAATGTACGGTAATAATTTAAACATTTTTTGGATATACATCTCTTGCCTCTCAATGAATGAGAAACAAAGGTTGGAGAGTAAAGGGATAAGGTTATCAAAACCATCGCAGAGACCTTTATTCGATTACCCCAAATATTTAAGAGGATTTGATTGCTTAAATTTTCAAATAGCGATAAATCAATGGGTAGGGAAGACGGGACTTCACTTCAACACAAATAATGTAATGGATAAATTAAGTCCAACGGAATTAAAATCCAAGACGGAATTATGTAATCAAATCTTGGGACCTTTTCTTTTATCCCATTCAAAAAATTTAAGACATCTCAAGTATGATCATGATAGTACGGGGATATCAAATATTTTAACCGCATATTCATCTAATGAATTCTTTCAAATGTTTATCAAACTTGAAACGTTAGAATTAAAGGACACGATATTTCATGAAAATTGGGTATCACGCGCGGAAAGGATCTCACAATTTGCGAGCAAATTATCATTATGTAATCGTAAATTACAAAATATTTCAATCGCTCTGGAGATTGGGATGAAGAAACAAATTCAACCCAAATATTGTAGGTCGATATTAGAATTGATTAAATCTCAAAATCATTTGAGAACTCTTGAAATTTGTGAATTTTGGAATTCATCATGTTCGAATTTATTTTTTGACGCATTAAAAAGTCAATCAAATTCTTTAACATACCTAAGTTTAACCAGGTTATCACAATATCATTTATTATTACCGGTATTATTACAATGTAAAAATTTGGTGACATTGGAATTTTGGACGATTAAAGAACAGGATGAGAGGGATTTAGATTTCGCTGGTTTAACGTGTTCCAAACGACAACTTTCAATAAAAAAATTCATCTGTTACGATCATGGAGATGATCCAGATTTTTTGACCCTAGTTAGAGGAATCATAATTAGGATGGCGAATAAAAATTTAAGGGAATTAAAATTTCAAAATGTTACGGTAGAATTACTTGATCTGATTCAGATTTACACTTCAAACATTTCAAATCTATATTTAACCATCGATTATTCAACTCTGTTGCATTTATTACCCATCTTATCATCATTACGTAACCTTGAATCTTTATATTTATTTGAATATAAAAAAATTTCTTTAACTTTTGAATTGATCGTTCACATGGCAAAATCGATTCCAAAATCTTTATCTTACTTGGATATAACATTTCATTTGACTCCCGTGATGTTAAAAATTTTATTGGAGAATTGTCCCGCAAGGTTAAACGTTTTGGTATTGCATATTGATGGGATGGATGATAAGTACCTTAAAGTTCTTATCGAATATGCTCAAAGATATCAAAGTCTCGATACATTTAAATTTGATGGTGACAAGATCAAATTTAGTTATGAAATGTATAACAAAGCCGAGAGCGTTATCTCTGTCATTAGAAATTTCAGAACGTTTACCTTGAAATAGTAATAATGTAAATTGTACAAAGTAAATTATTTATTAATAAAAATCTTCATTTTTTTTTATGTACATATATATTTCTCTCAAAAGAGTTGGATAATACAATTTGTATAATTAAATAAAGTGAACTGATTTAATAAATCTTCATGAACTCCGTGAAATAAACCAAAGGATAACGACGAATGGTAAATAAAGGCTTTACTACCCTCAATGATAGCGACACTTCTTATCCATGCGGTTAATTCTAAACCCGATAAATCCTTCCATACTGACAAAGCAAATGTTTGATAAATTTTTTTTAATAATTTCGCCACTACCTTTATAAAATTTTGATATGTCGTCTTTTTTTATCTTTCTTTCCACATTTTCCACTTTTTTTTATTAACAACCAAGTGGATCTAATGTCAAGAAAAAACGCCTTAAAACCCTTGTGAACATAAAAATACTAAAAGGAAAAAACTTGAGAGTATCCAGATCACGAAATTATCAGTGACATCGGTTCAGGATTCAATTGGAAGTGCAGGGGTTTGTTATCCTTCGAATATCCTCTAAAGGAATCGAAGAAGTGGTGGTTATCCGAAAGGACCCCTTGTATCGCTTTGGATCCAAACTCGTTAAGTGAATCTTTGAAAAAAAAAAGGAAACGGCTCATGGTATTCGGTTCAGATGTTTGTACCAATACTAGCAAAGCTGGAGAACTTGAGAAGATTATCTTGCAATTGTCACATTGTTTGTAGCGCGACACGATGGATTACGTTCTACCACCAATCGTAGAAGAAGATATGCTGTCCAAGAAGAATTCCAAGAAGGTAGCGAAGAAACTTCCAGCAGGCAAAGTACAACGCACCGGCTAAACAGCACGATGGACATATGGGACCTTTGCAATAGAAAGGGAGGAAACAGTCGGAAAAATCAATTTTACTTTTATATGCCAAATATGATTTTTAGGTCAAAATATGTTCAGATTTAGCATGAACTCAATTTTTATTTTTTCCAGCCGTTTCCCCCTTTTCTATTGCAAATGCCCATATAATCAATGCCTTTTCGCGGTCGAAAAAGAAATGTTAAACAGTATAATAAGGATTTATGGACACGGTGTCTCATAGCCGTAAACTTTAAAAATAATGAACTGAGATGAAGCTATGAATGATTTGCTCAAAGGATATGCTTCCAACTTTGCTACAAATCATAAAAAAATTAAAGATTCTAAAAGGATTCTCGACAATTTATCGTTTCAAGACCGCTCGAGCTATGTGTAGCATATGATCCATAAGACACGTGAGCATCTGTGGTAGTTTGTTCAGAATAACTTGTGGATATTCTGTTGTTATATCCATAAAAAATTAGGCGTGTTTTGCTGTCTTTAATGAAAATAACTTTTGATATCGATGGTGCTCACAATTTTCTCCTTCGATACTTTACGAACAAGGATTCAGCTTAGAATTGATGAAATATGAATCGCAAAGTTACTGAGGAATTCTCTTAATATTCTCATGAAATTTCTGTCTGAAGGTTTATTCCAGAGAATAAGAATCTTTTTCTAACGCCATTTGATCAATCTTTCACAGTAAAGAGAAAAAAAATAATAAATAAAAATATTTTTATTATCAGATGAAAAGCCTTTTTCGGGCTTAATCCAGCAAAAAACGAAAACTTTTAAATATCCGATTATGGATATGATCGACTATCGATTTATATAAATAAATATTGAAAGCTTCAAAAAAAATTGCTTTTGATTATCTGAAAATTTTTATTTCTTTTTTTTCTAATTCTTTATAATGATACCTTTAATTAAGGAAGGAATTAACCCAAAACAAGCTCTATTAAATCCAAACTCTTTAGCAACTCTTCAGTTTCTCTCTAAAATTCACAATACTTCTAAGTGTTATAACGTTTTATGCGTTTCGTTAAATAATTCTCAAAAATTATATTTATTTTGTGTTGTAAATGATGAATTGGAAGAAAATGTAATTGCTTTACCAAAGTGGCTATCGTTAACTTTCAACAAAGTGTTCAATAGTGATGAGTCTTTGGAAAACGTTAATGTTCATCCTTTAGATATATCAAGTAATTATCGTTATAAAGTAAATTTATCATTAAAATGTAACATAAACTAACCCTCTTACTTTTCACCAGTAGATGATTTACCCATTGTAAAGAAAATTTCTTTGATAAAAATGTATGGTGATGTTTGGATACCTTCCAGTAAATCATTAAATTCTTCGTATATGCAATCATCCCAAAGAGCAAAATCATATAAACCGGATTGGCATGAATTAATTTTAAGCCATTTTGACGGACAAGTGGTAATATGTTATAAAAATATACCTTCCTTTCGTTTTTTTAATTTATAATCATTGTTCACCTTATCTATTTTGTTTTGTAACTTGTTATGTACCAGGTATCCAATAATTCGTTATTATCTGATGTTATTATGGATCAAATTTGTGTATTTCGCGTAGTATGTGTAGAATTATCTTATAATGATGAATCTCTCCCTGTTCTTAAAGTGCAGGATTCATCATTAATCGCTAAGATTGATCAACATGAAACAGAAGTTGATATTACATCATCATTTTCTCCACGTCAATTATCACCGATCGTAGGATTTATTAATGAATTTGATTCTCTTTATCAAATTATAAGTAAGTTACTCTCTTTAGTTAATCTGGTGTTTTTAATTATTTTAATTTTTTGTTTCTTCTCTCTCCCAAGGTGATTCATTTTTGAACACTGAAATTCATAGAAAACTCGGAATACCAGAAACAAGAACATTATTAATCATAGGTTCACACGGAAGTGGTAGAAAATCATTAATACAGTAAGAAGAAATCCCCCTTTTTTTTGCTTAAATAATTATTTACTAAAAAAAAAAAATCTTTAATAATAACAGACATGTTTGTAATAAATTATCAGCGACATTATTCATGATATCATTAACAACAATGATAATAAAGCATGATATGTTCGAAAATATCGATGAAGATGAGGAGAATCCGTTGAGAATTATGTTTACAAAGGCTATGTTATCTATACCTTCTGTCATCGTAATAAAAGATCTTGATGCTCTTGCTGTTAGCGGTAAGAACCATTTATAACAATCAAAAATTACATTACCGGAATTACTTTGATTAATTTCTTTGGAATATTCTAATATTTTACAGAGCAGGGTTATTCTATAGGTGAATGGAGAACTAAAGTTATTAATCTGTTGGTGAGAGAAATTCGAGACATTCACAAGGCTGAACAGGTATGCAAATAACTTTTCAATCAAGCAAAGATGTATTTATATGTAATTTGATTTATTCTTTTTTGAAGGTGTTTGTGATTGGTATTACATGCGATAAATCCAAATTACCAAGAGAATTACGTAAAATTGAAATATTTCAACATGATTTAGTCTTATCAATACCGTCAAGGTACGATTTTTCTTATTTTATTGTAATATGCATTTATTTAAGTCAACCTCAATAAATTTGGTTACTTTTTTTTTTATTATTGAGATAGGAAACAACGTGAAGAAATATTAAGTTTCTATTTGTCGAAATTAAAATTATCTTCCTCATGTCACCAAATGATGAAAAGTTATATTACAAAACTTGGTCTGGTATGATTAATTTGTATGAATTTCCTATTTGTGTATTAAAAAGTTTTACTTGTTGATATCTTTCTTGAACTATTAGATGACTTCAGGATATGTACCAAGAGATTTAAAGGAATTATGTAGATTGGCGATGCTACGATCGCTTAATAATTTCAATAAGAAAGCCAGTAATGATGTGGATCTAGTTGAGGATATGGCAAAGCTTGCGATTAATGAGAACGTATCAAGCAATGATGATTACGCTGGGCATGTATATTTGAAAAATATTCATGATCTCGATATAGAGAAATCTATCATAAAAGATATTAAACAAAGCATTCTTTTTTTTAGTTTATCAGGAATAATTTCATGGAATGACTTCGAATATGCTGTGTCCATCATATTTCCATCGCAAAAAATTGAATTTGAATCAATTTTACCACAACGAAGATGGGATGAAATTGGCGGGTAGGTAACAAAGATATTTCTTTTCCACCCGAACTTAATATTTATGAATTTTTTTTTTTTAGATATGAAGGTATAAAAAAGAAGATAAAACAAATTGTAGAATGGCCAATTATTAAACATGAAGCTTATAAAAGGTTAGGCGTTGAGCCACCATCAGGAATACTACTTTATGGTCCATCAGGCTAGGATAAATCTGCTTTTAATATTGTTCTATTTTTTTTTTCTTTGCGGTACTATTAATATGTTTATATTTAATATTTATTTAGGATGTGGAAAATCTATAATGGTACAAGCATTAGCTACTGAATCCTATATGAATGTTATTTGTATTAATGGGTAAAATTTAGAATGTAATTGTAAATTTATCTTATAACCGAGAAAAATTTGATTTATATTTAATTATTTCGGGAATCATAGACCAAAGATTTACTCAAAATATTTAGGAGAAACCGAAAATGCCATAAGAAATTTATTTAAAAGAGCAAGACAAATTATACCATGTATTGTATTTATTGATGAATTAGATTCTATAGCATCAAGAAGAGGTAGATTACTAAATATTATTATGATTTGATTCAGAGTAAAAAATTTTCTTTTAAAAAAAATATAATAATAATAATAAAGTTAAATTTTAGAATTTGGCAGTGACGGTACAAACAGAATTAATGAAAGAGTATTGAGTACTTTATTAAACGAAATGGATGGTATACAAGAATTGAAGCAAGTTTTCGTTATTGGATGCACAAATAGGCCTGATCAAATTGATGATGCATTGCTTAGACCAGGCAATGAACTGATTAACGTAATTTTTTTTTTTTTTTTAGACTTGTATCAAGAAATAATTTTTTTCTTAATTGTTTTTAGGACGTTTCGACCAGTTAATTTATATTGGATTACCTAATGAATTCGAAAGATTTGATATACTTCAAGTTATATCAAAGAAAGTTTCATTTGGTGATAATGTGAACTTAATTGAACTATCAAAAAAGACTAAATTGTATAATGGTGCTGATTTAGAAATCTTAATAAGGTATTTATTTTTTTTTTTCAATCTGTTTGCGAACGAATACTTTAATTAATTTTATTTGGTGGTTTGGGAATAAAAAAGAGAATCCGGGTTATGTGCATTAAGGGAGGATATTTTAAGCACAAAAATATATAATAAGCACATTGACTCAATAATAAAAAAGATGAATGAAACCAAAGCTTTAGATGACAATAATCATCTAACAATTTACGAGAATTTTCGAAAAAGTAAATAAACTACTATAATTACATACGATGATTTTATTTGATTCGTAATATTTTTCTTTTTCTTTATGACTCCTCCAAATGTCTGTCCAAAAAGGTTCAAAAAATAAAAAAAAAAAAATAATTAATCTTTCCATTTTTCCGCATCGGGGAATCGAACCCCGGCCGTCGCGGTGAAAGCGCGAAATCCTAACCACTGGACCAATGCGGATTGTTAATTGTTATAAGCGTAAAATTATATTATTTGTAGAATAGATCTCACCTTTTATAGCATGATCATCAAACAGGCTTCCCAAATCGTATTATTTATTGTATAATTGGCGTTTTATATATTTCTAGTATAACATAATTGATAATTTAGGTAAAATTCCAAATAGAACTTTTAGGTTAAGGTTTGAGTGTCATAATGACAAATGCGAAAACTATATTAAAACCACCTAACTATATTAAAGAATAGGTGACAGTCAAAATAAATAACGGATTTGCCTTCTTGATTTAGATGTCTTGTGGATCTGTATATCAATTGGTGGACTTTTATTTGTACAAATCAGTTTCCAAGTGCAATCCATATTTATTTTTTTTAAAAAAAAAAGATTCGCCGTTACATTTCTTTCGTGTTTTAACCTTTAGACAAATATTGCTTGGCTAAAATCTCTTGGCTTGTAGAAGGTCACATTTCAATTGGCTGCCATTTAAATTTTTCACTAGTAACCTTTACCTAGATTAAAGTTCGATTTTTTTTTTAACAAGGTTTGGGGCAAAAAAAAAAATTTTTTATTTACAAATATTATTTCACCTGATTTCAAATGTAATACAAAGTCAACAAAAAAAAAAATTAGACGTACGTGTATATTTGAAATGGATGATTTCTTACTGCGCTCTTCTGTTGCATTAATGGCAAAAATATAATGAAAACGAATTTTTGGGGCGGTTCAAACACAATTGAAGCCCCCTGATGACGATATTTGAAACTTTAGTCAAACCATTAATTTTTTTTAACGTGTGCTTCCCGAATTGGTAAGAATTACAAACATTTAAAACGTTTTGAGCTGATTACCTACAGTGCAAATAACAAATTGGGTTATATGAAATTGTGCTTCTTTTAGGAAGAAAGAAAAAACCCCTTCGAAAAAAAAAATAATACATATATAAATTTTTTTTTTTTTTTGTAACTCACGACTGCAGATTTGCTAAATGGGCCGTGCGAAACATGCCCAACCTGCATTATTATTATTTTCTTTTTTTTAAAAAAAATTTTGAAAAAAAAAAATACTTATTATTTTGGAAAGCTCATAAACATTCAAGGTTTGGCACAATTTTGGGCGTCGCATGTGCTTCTTTGATTACTCAATGAAAAAAGACATTCGGCGTACTATAATGGTATCTTTGGTTTTCTTATCTGTAATACCCCAAATCTGATGTAAATTACTAAATTGTGATGATGATGATGTTAAAATGTTTATGATAAGATCGAACAAGTATTTTTTTTTTTTTCAAAGCCCTTTCAAGACCAATCAATGTTCAAACCTGATATTAAAGTTTTAGTAATGGTTTCATTATATGAAAAAAATTTCGTATAAAATAAATCATATAGACATATATTACATATATTACATTTATTAAAGAACAGATTTAAGTGGTGTCACAAGCCCTTCATATGAATTGCGACACTTGCGTGACAGTGATCATACCCGTTGAAGTTTAGAAGGTAACGAAGCACGAGTGAATCAAACAAAACATTTTTTTGCCACAAACAGACATAAGTAGGGATATTTTAAGGGGGGTTTTTTTTTTCTAGTGCAACCTCTACTCAATACTTTTACCATCCCATCTCTTAATTCAACCTTCAAATCAGTTTTAAATTTATTTATTTCTTGAAAAAATAAATTTATACTTTCATATATTTTTTTTTTTTTTTCTCTCTCATCGTAAACCGGAACAACGATATTATCTCGTTCACTTTGGACTTTACTAAAGTTAATATAATAAAAGCTATTGTTTATTTTTTTAAAAAAAAAAAAACTACTCTGACTGCGCCATTGAAATCGTAATAAGAACTCTCTGAAATGGACTACGCGGCTACTCTAAAGCATCTAGGTGAGCCTTAAATATATTTGTAAAATTAGTTCCATTATTCCCTGATATCTTGTTAATCTTTATTGTCCCGATTTTGGCCATGTAGCAAAGGAGGCCGGTATACCTATACCTCCTAATTCCTTTTCAAAACCTAGTGTTGGTCGTTCACCGTCTCTTAACAAAAGTAAAGGATTAAGTAAATGCTCAAAATGCGGAGAGACGCGCACTGGGATAGGCTGGTGTCGACCATGCAATACAGCTAAACTCATAGCTCAATTTAAGAATTGGACAAGCGGAAATGAAGAACTAGACCAGTTTATCAGAGATACCCAAATAAACGCAAATACGCCTTACGATTATATTCGTTGGATTAACTTTGATAGTTTTTCGGATCTCAAGTTTATAGCGAAAGGTGGTTTGGGTTCAGTTTTTTCAGCGAAATCTGAAGCATGGGGTAAAGTGGCGCTTAAATTTCTTGATGAAGCGGAGAACTTGGCCCGTGACTTTTTGGAAGAGGTGAGAATATTGATATTCATCTCGTATTTTTTTTTTTTTATGGGGTGCATGATTCTTGATTGATATCATGATTTAAATATTTATCAATATCTGCTCCTTTGCTTCTTTTTTTTTTTCCGTTTTGTCATTATTTTACAGGTTCGAGCATATCATAGATGTAGTCTTGGTTCAGGGATTGTCGATTGCTATGGTGTTAGTAAAGATCCGGAAACCAATCGATATGTAATGGTAATGCGATATGCAGACCATGGGAGCTTAAGGAAATATTTAACAAAATTCTTTACCGAATTATCATGGGATGAGAAGATTATATTATTTGATCGCATTGCTAAAGGTCTTAAGGGCATTCACGATGTAGGAATGGTACACAGAGATTTTCATAGGTAATTTAAATTTGGAAATTTTTTATTTAATCATCTTATTTCCTTATTTATTTTTTTGGAATTAACATTCAACATTAAATCTTCCTTCCTTTAATCAATTCAAAGTGGAAATATATTGCGACATGAAAAACTTGTTTACATCACAGATTTAGGAATGTGTCGACCTGAGAACGAAACGGATGATTTAAAGAAAATATACGGTGTACTACCGTATGTGGCCCCTGAGGTGTTAAGAGGATCTTCTTACACGCAATCTGCAGATATTTACAGTTTGGGCATGATAATGTGGGAGATGTCTTCTAATGAACCACCGTTTGCAGACCGTGCTCATGATTATTCGCTAGCTCGTGACATTTGTAATGGACTTCGACCTCCAATTATTTCTGGAACACCTAAATGTTATGTGGCCGCTATGCTTCGGTGCTGGGATTCCGAACCAACAAAGCGACCTACCGTAGACGAATTAATAGAGATCTCTTACAAATGGCGATTCCTTTCTGACGGTAAAGCTCCATTCCAAGGTCCAAAAACTAAGAAAGTTAGGACCGGCACTGTAAAGTCAGTCATCACGAATTCTGGTGCTGTGCACCCACAAGCTTTCTACACGAGTCGGTTGCTACATTATCCGAATTTACCCGAACCTCAAAATTCAGATACTTTTACGCTTTTTGACTCCACAACTGGAGAGCTACATGTAATGGTTCGGAAACAGAGTACGTGCATTTAATTATCTCGGTTTTACCATTACTTTCAAAATAAATAAATTCTAAAAGTTTCAAACCTTTTTCATTATACATCTTAGATACTAAGAAAGACCCTACCAGGTCTTCAACTTTGCCGTCATCCGACACTAGTAATATTGACAAAGGCAAAGAGAGAGCCAGAGAAGGCCTTTCTCGAAGAGAATCTGCTAAAAGTAAGTTCACATTGCAACGTTTTAATTGAACTTTGAGAATTTCGTTTGATGTATTTAAATTAATTTAACGTGATTTTCCAAAGGTATGAATTTGGGTAAGATGGATAGAGAGATGATTGACAGGATAAGAGCGAATCAAAGACAATGTATGTATTACCTAATATATATATTTATTTATTTATTAATTTTCATTCTACGATCACAAAAAATTAACCTTTTCAACTTATTTTGACCTTTTTAGTTTCACATCATCGATGGTCTTCTATCATTAACGAAATTCCAAAACAAGTTGAACTCTACAAAGTAGACGGTAAATTTTATTCATTTTATCATTGGTACAATTAATTATCATTGCGCTTACTAATTTCAAAAAAAAAAAAAAATTTATTTATTTATTTATTTCAGATAAAGAGAAACAATCTTAAAAATTTAAAACCACGCATTACGCATAAACTTTTTTTAATATATATACATTATTCAAAAATATTACGTTATAACCTAATTTAGAGATATTATTACTAGAATATTAAAGATTCACGTGTTTAGGATGAACCTTTTTTTTCTGAAGTTCGTTTGTATTATACAATATTAAAGGAAAAAAAAAAAAAAAAAAGATAAAAAAAAAAAGAAAGAACTACCCCAAAAAATTATTATATCGTTCTATTATTCGCCCTTTTTTTTATACTAAATCATTTATTATTTCCCAATATATAAAACTTTTTTTAATATATAACATATTAGTTTATTTTCACAAATATTAAAAGATATAAAAAAAAAAAAAAAAAGTACATATCTAATAATAATAATAAGCGAATATATTAATAAAATAAACTAGATCTTAATAGCGGATTTTTGCGACAATAAGTTTATTGTTTTTCTGGTGGTTTTTTTTTTGTAAATAACGTTACTATGCTTGGTGTTTACATAATTCTTTACTCAGCAAATGAAATTCAGCTAATTGATCTGCTTACACACACTCATATAATTGTATACAAAGATCAGTACAAATTTGTATAAACGGGACAAACCCAAATTGTGAATTATCACGGGACATCCTAAAGTAGTTTATTCTTTAAACTAGCCACTCGAAAAAATTTTCAAACGAAAGACCATTTTTTTTTTTTTAAATCCTTTTTGACGGTTTTCAATATGTCTGAAGTCGAAGAAATTGTAGCCATATTCGGTGTTGGAGACCATGTTTGGGTGCCATGGAGCACTATTATCAACTCCATTACAATAAAAGTTAAAAACGAGTCTAGTTCAAGTAAAACTCCCATAAAAACAAACAAACATATAAAATATTGGCCGGCTTTCGTCCTTGAAAGGCACGTAACAACAAAGTTACGAAAAGTTGCCTATGCGCGAATAGTACCAACTTCAACTCCTCAAAATGGGAACTCCCTTTCACCAAAATATTTGGTTAAACTGATTGGTCTTAACGTGAACCAAGTTTTTTTTGAAAAAAGTCTCAGGTCTTGGCTTTCTTTTAACCCCGAACCTTTGCCAGAAATTTCTTCAAATTATGAATTCAATTTACTCGGTCAAGATATTTCCTTGTCAGATATTAAAATTGAAAAACTTACGGCTCTTTATGTTCGAGCGATACAAAAAGTTTCGAATAAACTTAAACCGACACGTGATTATAATTCCGAAATATCAAAGAAGGTTAACACGGAACCTACCAAGGTCGGTTCGAGTAGCCCCGTTCGTTTAAGGATAATTTATAATAAAAATTCCAAAGATTCGAAAAGGTCGGATAATCATGGTTCAAATTCTAAATCCAAAAAGTTGGTTCAAACTCCCATTTATCATCATCATGCCGTACCTTCAATAAATGCTAATCCACCCTCAAGAAGTGTTGACAAAGATGAACATGACGGACATCAAGAAAAATCTTTAAATGGTGAAACTTACTTGTTAAAAAAGAAGCCGAACAAATCATTGGAAAAAATTGGCTCCGATAACTCGAATGATAGCGTTAAACAAACTCCTCCTTTAAATAATTCCGAAATGACCTCCTCAATTGCTAACTCAATTATTACAGTTGAAAAAGATGTTATTTCCACAACATTTCATGAACAACAAATTGTATCAACCGTATCAACTGACAAGAAAGAATCTTTTGAGATATCAAATCTTTTTGAAATTTCTACAAAAAAACGTGGCAGAAAATCATCAAAAAGTTTTGAAACGAGATTAGACACCCTTAATCCTTCTAATACGACTAATACAAGCCCATCTAATTCTGATATAAAACTTTCTGACATGACTCTACTACCTACGACTGATGATTCATCTTTGCTTAGGAGAACAAGGAATGGAAGTGTTTTTGGAAAGTGGAGGGCATCAAAACGTTCACGACTTTCTCAAGAAAGTTCAGAACAAAATGATTCGGCCTTGGATCAAAATATGAATAATTTCCTTGGTAACGAAGTTCTTCCTAATGATGATCATTTAAAGACTTCTGAGGAAGCACCCATTCAGAATGATAAAAGTATTTCGATTCATTCAACTCAAAAAGCTGACCTCACTCAAACAAATGATCCCACACAACAAAACAAAAGAAAGTTGATGATTGGCATCAAGAATACCCCTATTAATCGACCAAGATTTTCCGATCAGATAAATAAGGATGATACGGATCCAGAAACGGATTTGGAGTTACAAGAAAGCGAAATTAAGAGAAGGAAAGTTCAGGATGATTCGGTTAAACAAGATGATATTCCCGGAAACAATGTTGGTAATAAGTCCATGGAGATTAATGTAGGAATGCATAGTTTCGATATTGTAATTACAAGTTTGCATGATTTGTGTATATTCTGATCTAATTATGTTACGCGTTTTCCATCTTAGTCCGAACAAAATAACTTCATTACGCATGATGATAATTACGCGATAAGATCAACGCCTATACTTAATTTAAAAACAAGGATGGAACATTTTAAAAGTAAAAATGAATGCAAGTCGGAAATTAGAACGAAACCTATAATTCAGTCTGCGGATCAATTACAGTCTACGGATCAAATATTACAAAGGAATGTTGAGTCGGAAAATTTTAATGATAAAAGGATACGGAATCGTTCAAATTGCAATACTAAGTGTGCACCATCAGATTCTGTTACTCAAGCGATCTTTGAAGATAATTATATGCAACATCCTATGATAAAATTGAAAGACGATCAAGTAATTGTAAATAACATTCATGATGGTAATAATTCTATATCGTCAGTCTTTTCATCCCCGTTACAATCATTTCGTTCGGTTTTGGGATTTGGTAACATATTTTCATGGAGCAAAAAAGGTTTCGATGCTTGATGGAAGCAAAAAAAAAATATATATATATATATAGATAGCCTTTTTTTTTTCTTTTTTTTTTTTCTTTTTTTTTTTTTTTTTGTTGTGCGCGCATGTGTGTTTTGATTTATTCTAATATTTTTGATTTGATTTAAAAGAAATACGTTATATCTCGAAAGGGATTGAAAAATAATACTAATGTTCAATTAAATGAAAAATTGTAAATAAATAAATACTGATGGGGTTTAATAAAACTGTGCCACACTTCGCTATTTATTTATTCAGAAGTAGTGTTATATATATAATTCAAGGGGTTGGTTGGTTTTGTTACGATTTTGAATCTAATTAATCTTTACTCATATCTTTTAAATTTCAAATGCCATATCCCCATCTTTTTTTAATAACTCAATCATCCCTGAAGGTAATAATGGGACGATGTTTTGTTTCATTTCGTTGTTGGTTGTTTGTAAAGTAGATTGATGAGCATCAGGTATCGCGACATAACGAAAAGGCATAATCTAAAAACGTTTAAACATTTTTAAATAAATAACTAATTCTGCTAAATTATCTTAAATATTGAATACTTACCACAGATTCAGTTTTATCAATTTTTATCTCGGGAAAATCAATGTAAGGGATTTGATTAATCGATGCTTTATATGATTATTATTTTTATTATTTTTTTTTTTAAAAAAAAAAAAAAAAGATTATCGTTTTCAATGGTTAAAAGAAAATCTAGCTGCATAAGAGAATAAATCACTTACTTTTGTCCTCTACGATTTTCTTTGTTACATATAGAGCGGTATCTGTAGTCATTTGCATCTCACCAAGATTTCTCGAAGGAAATCCAAGACGTCTTAACTCGGCTGTGCGATCTGAACAAAAGAGGAATACCCGAAATGATCAAATATATAATTTTAATTTATTAATTTACATTTTAATAAACCAACCTCTAGGAGGATCATCTCCAAGTATTCCACCAAATAAAAAATATTCAAAAGTGTCCCCATCCGTTGGTTCTAACATTTGACTAGAGGCGGGATCTAAAAGACAGATTTTATCCATTGATATATTCATATTTGTAACATTTTCTGTAAGAACATTGGCATCTTTTAGAATTTCAGGAATTTTAAGTAACGTTTCTGATGATTTGGATACATTAGTAAAGTATAGATGATGAGGATTTATAACCGTTGCTATATGACAATATTCCAATAAGCACCATTCGTGCAAATTATCTTCCATATGTTCTAAAATTTTAATAAACTTTAGTAAAATTTTAAATATTTCTAATGATAAAATTCAATTAAAAAAAAATAAATAAATTGATAGTAAGATCAAATACCAATAATATATTTTGGAACCATCGAATTTCAATTTTGAAAGAAAGAGATTAAAATTTTTTAGAAATAAATTTTCGGTTAAATAATTTGGGATTTTATATCACATGACAGCAGAATTTTTATAATTTTTACTTGACTAATCTTGAAATGTTTAAAAATAATTTATTTTATAATTTTTTCATTATAATAAATTTATATCAGAGACCCGGAAAAATTCCGATATCAAATCGTAAATTTTTATCACGATAACAGCAAAAATTCCGATTTTATTCCGA